GAGAACAACAAATCCAACAGTGAGAACAACAAATCCCCAACAGTGAGAACAACAAATCCCAACAGTGAGAATCGGAATAAACTTCAACAGTGAGCAACAATCCTCAATCCCAACATGAGAACAACAACCTTCAACAGTGAGAAACAACAACATGAGAACAACAGTGAGAACAGCAACAACATCTCAACAGTGAGAACAACAACCCAACAGTGAGAACAACAACAACCCTTCAACAGTGAGAGCAACAACCCCAACAGTGAGAACAACAAATCCCCAACAGTGAGAACAACAAACCCCAACAGTGAGAACAACAAAGGATCTCAACAGTGGAGAACAACAAATCTCAACAGCGAGAACAACAAATCCCAACAGTGAGAACAACAAATCCTCAACAGTGAGAGCAACAGATCCCAATGAGAAACAACAAATCCCAACAGTGAGAACAACAAATCCCCAACAGTGAGAACAACAAATTCAACAGTGAGAACAACAATCCAACAGTGAGAATCCCAACAACAATCTCCACAGTGAGGAATCAACAATCCCAACAGTGAGAATCCAACAACTCACAACATGAGAAAACACAAATCCCAACAGTGAGAACAACAACCTCAACAGTGAGAACAACAAATCTCAACAGTGAGAATCAATCAACAACAGGAGAACAACAACCTCAACAGTGAGAGCAACAACCAACAGTGAGAACAACAACCAACAGGAGAACAACAACCCCAACAGTGAGAATCAACAACAACCCAACAGTGAGAATCAACCAACAGGAGAACAACACAACAGTCAGAGAACAACAACCCAAACAATCAACCCCACAAGCAACAACCCAACAGTGAGAATCAACCCCACAGGAGAACAACAACCAACAGTGAACAACAACCCCAACAGTGAGACAACCAACAGAGGAGACACAACCCCAACAGTGAGAATCCCACAACATCCAACAAGGAGAACAACAACCAACCAACAGAACAACAACCAACACAGGAGAAACAACCCCAACAGTGAGGAACAACCCCAACAGTGGAGAACAACAACCCCAACAGTGGAGAACAACAACCCCAACAGGAGAACAACAACCAACAGAATCACCCCAACAATCGAACAACAGGAGACAACAACAACAACAACCCCAACAGTGAGAACAACAAATCAGGAGAACAACCACACAGTGAGCAACAACCCCAACAGTGAGAACAACAACACAGTGGAATCAACCCCAACAGTGGAGAACAACAACCCAACAGAACAACAACCACATGGAATCAACAACCCCACAGTGAGCAACAACCCCAACAGTGAGAACAACAACCCCAACAGTGAGGAACAACAACCCCAACAGTGAGAACAACAACCCCACACAGTGGAACAACAGCAACAACAGAATCAATCAACCCACAACAACAACAACCAACAGTGAGGAACAACCCCAACAGTGAGACAAGAACCAACACAGTGAGAATCAACAACCCCAACAGTGAGACAACAACCCCAACAGTGGAGGACCAACAACCCGAATCAACCTGAACAGTCAACAACCAACAGTGAGAACAACAACTTCAACAGGAGAACAACAACCCCAACAGTGAGAGCAACAACCCACACAGTGAGAATCAACCCCAACAGAGAGACAACAACCCAACAGGAGAGCAACAACCCAACAGTGAGCAACAACCCCAACAGTGAGAATCCCCAACAATCAATCAACCCCAACAGGAACAACAACCCCACAGGAGAACAACCCCTCAACAGGAGAGAACAACAACCCAACAGGAGAACAACAACCCAACAGTGAGAACAACAACCCCAATCAACAGAGAGACAACCCCAACAGTGGAGAAACAACCCCAACAGGAGAACAACAACCCCAACAGTGAGAACAACAACCCCAACAGTGACCCAACAACCCCACAGTGAGGAACAACCAACAGTGAGAACAACCCCAACAACCAATCAACGAGAACAACAACCAACAGTGAGACAACAACCCCACAGTGAGAACAACAACCCCAACAGTGAGAACAACAACCCCAACAGTGAGAATCAACAACCCCAACAGTGAGAGCAACAACCCCAACAGTGAGAATCAACAATCCCAACATGAGAACAACAACCCCACAGTGAGCAACAACCCCAACAGTGAGAACAACAACCCACAGTGAGAACAATCAACCCCACAGTGAGACAACAACCCAACAACAGAATCCCACAACAGTGAGAATCAACCCCAACAGTGAGAACAACAACCCCAACAGTGGAGAACAACAACCAAGGAGTGAGAGCAACAACCCCAACAGTGAGAAAAGGAATCAACAACAACCAACCCCAACATGGAGAACAACAACCAGACAACCCCAACAGTGAGAACAGTGAGAACAACAACCTCAACAGTGGAGAACAACCCAACAGTGAGAACAACCCAACAGTGAGAACAACAACCAACAGTGAGAATAACAACATCCAACAGTGAGAAACCCAACAGAAGAGAATCAACCCCACAGTGAGAAACAACAAATCTCAACAGCGAGACAACAAATTCAACAGTGAGAACAACAACCAACAGAGGAACAGTCAAGGAAACAACAATAAACCCAACAGTGAGAACAACACCACAGTGGAGAACAAACCCCAACAGTGAGAATCAACAAATCTCCCACAGTGAGAACAACCCCAACAGTGAGAACAACAACAGTGAGAACAACAAATCCCCACAGTGAGAGCAACAACCAACAAGAATCCCCAACAGTGAGAGAAATAAATAGCAACAACCAACAGTGGAGAACAACAACCCCAACAGTGAGAGAACAATAAATCAACAGAAAATAAATTTAACAACAGAATAGTGAGAACAACAACCCAACAGTGGAGAGTAACAACAACCCCAATAAATGAGGAATCAACAAATGTGAGGAACAACAACCCAAACAGTGAGCAATCCAATAGTGAACGAACAACCAACAGTGAGAACAACAAACAGTGGAGAACAACAACAGTGAGAACAACAAATCCAACAGAGAACAACAAATCCCAACAGTGAGAGCAACAAATCCCCAACAGTGAGAACAACAACCAACAGTGAGAACAACAACCCCAACAGTGAGACAACAATCCCAACAGTGAGAGCAACAAATCCCAACAGTGAGAGCAACAAATCCCAACAGGAGCAACAACCCAGTGAGAACAACAACCCCAACAGTGAGAGCAACAAACCTCAACAGTGAGAACAACAACCAACAGTGAGAACAACAAATCCCAACAGTGAGAGCCAAACAACCTCAACAGTGAGAACAACAAATCCAACAGTGAGAACAACAAATCCCAACAGTGAGAACAACAACTCCCAACAGCGAGAAACAACAAATCCCCCAACAGTGAGAACAACAAATCCCAACAGTGAGAACAACAACTTAATATGAGAACAACAACCCCAAATTGACCCCAACAGTGAGAATAAACAAATCCTTAACAGTGAGAACAACAAATCCAATAGTGGAGGAACAACAAATCCCAACAGTAGAACAGAATCCTCAATAGCGAGAACAAATAGTGAGAACAAACAAATAGTGAGGAACAAATAACAGTGGAATGAACAACAAGAATAACAAATCCTCAGTGAGAACAACACCAACAGTGAGAGTAAATAAAGCGAGTACAACAAACTTCAATAGTGGAGAATGAATAGTGGAGAACAACAAACTTAAATCCTCAGCGAGAACCAACAAATAACATAGAGAACAACAAATTCAATAGTGAGAACAACAAAAACAGCGAAACAACAACTAACGCGAATAGTGAGAGCAATAAATAAACAACAACTTAATAGTGAGAAATATGAATATCCTGAAATAGTGAGAACAACAAATCTAAATAGTGGAGAGAAATAAATTCAACAGTGGAGAATAAATGGAGGAAATAACTTAAATAGTGCAACAAATAAATAGTGGAGAATGGAATAAATAGTGGAGAATAACAAATAAATAGTGAGAGGAATAGAAATGGAATAGTGGAATGAGTGGAATGGAATAGGAATAAATAAATAGTGAGAATGGAATAGAATAAAATGGAATAGTGAGAATAAATGAAATCAATATGAGAATAAATAAAGTGGAATAATGGATGGAATAGAATAGTGAATAGTGAGAATAAATCTCAAATAGCGAGAACAACAAATAAATAGTGAATAACAAATCAACAGTGAGAACAACAAATCTCAACAGCGAGAACAACAAATCCTCAACAACAGTGAGAACAACAAATCCCAACAGCGAGAACAACAAATCCTCAACAGCGAGAGAACAACAAATCTCAACAGTGAGAGCAACAAATCCTCGGAACAGTGAGAAATCAACAAATCCTTCAATAGTGAGAACAACAACTTCAACAGTGAGAACAAATCTCAACAAATCAACAAATTCAACAGCGAGAGCAACAAATCTCAACAGGAGAACAACAAACTTCAACAGTCAGAACAACAAATCTCAACACAGCGAGAGCAACAAATCTCAACAGTGAGAACAACAACCCCAACAGGAGAACAACAAATCTCAACAGCGAGAACAACAAATCTCAAATACAGTGAGAGCAACAAATTTCAACAGTGAGAACAACAAATCTAAACAGTGTGAGAACAACAAATCTCAACAGTGAGAACAACAAATCTCAACAGAGTGAGAGCAACAAAGTGCTGGCTAACAATTCATGTTTCAAACCTTACACAATGTTTCATGCCATTAGAATGATGTTAGCTAGGACTCACGGGATGGGACTCAACCCCAGAATATACAGAATCTGTACTTTAACTAAGAGAAATTGTTATCCCAAATACATGTATACACTGGCCATATTCTAAATGTGCATGGTGCATCTTACACTTTTATCTTATGAATCGTATTTCTACATTTACTGCACTTTTTGTTTTTTGCTTCCTGGAGAACTAGTATCAGCTAGAGATTTTGTTCGGCGAACATTCAGCTTTAGCCACTGTTTTATAGAAACTTCAGTGTGTCATTACGTGTGAACGTATGTCAGCGACGGCGAGACAGGGCCTCGTGATTATCTAAAGGTCATATCGATACGCCCATGAACCTTACCTCTCAAGGTAAAGCAGAAATCGATAGACATCTATCTGATATACTTGGTCTGCGGCGAACCTGAGCAAGACGTTAGGTGTACATCTTGATAATATCTGGCGTAATTGTTGCATAATCGCAGTATGTTATAATATGTGAATAATGTGAACAGAACCACATGAGAACGAAAGAGATAAAAATACGTACCAGCAAAAGAGGAAAACATTGCAGGGTCCAGGCCCCGCACGCATAACGTGTATCCAGGAGAGATAGTCATACGACCTGTGTTTTGTAATCTGAGTTACATGGTGCTCAGTCACTGTATGAATAACTGAGCATTCCGTTATGTTACGCCAGTTTCCAATGAGCGTTCCGAAATAGCCGTTACCAGTAGAATATGCCACAATAGCAACAACCTCTGAACAGCATATCTCTCAACTGATGTAGCTAACGTCATATGCTAATAGACTGCCATTACATGCAATCTGGTCAGATTATGAGCATGCCATATAGATAGCAAGATACAGAACAGACTGTATACCCTCTCATAACACCCAGATGTACGTTAATACTATGTTCAAATAGAATAGATAGCAACACAGAACAGACTGTATACCCTCTCATAAAACACCCAGATGCACGTAATACTATGTTCAATAGATAGCAACATTGAACAGAGCTGTATAATTCTCTCATAACACCCAGATGTACGTTAATACAGACTGTATGTCTCATAACACCCAGATAGCAACACAGAACAGAGGCTGTATACCCTCAAAACACCCAGATCGCTAGTACACGTTCCAACAGACTGTGACGTTACCCTCTCATAACATTCTGTACGCTTACTCATAATAGATAGGCAGGTAGGTGTATATAGACACTACTTGTTTCTACATATAAGAAATCCACATGAAATCCATGTGCCTTAGTTTCCACAAGAATCTAAAACAAACTCCAATGACGAATTGAAACATGTATTACTTATTGAACCATTATACGATGACGACATATTAAAAGTCAAATCAAATACCTTCTCAGAGCAGATGGAGACGCCGTCAGGGTGCGTACCTGCGGAACGTGATTGAAGTCCACCTGTTCGATACCTGGCCCACACACATCTAACCCGGGCTATCGTCAAGTAATTTCGTTGTACTAAATATAGTCACGGTCGGTCATGACGTGATCATGATAACACAATGCAGGTAAACAGGTGAGTTTTGTGGCGCGTGCTCCCCCGAATTGCATTTCCCTTTATACTTGAAACGTTGGAGCGCAAGGCGGCCCGTCAGCAGGGCAATTCTTCACATCTCCTCTTCAGGAAGAAATCTCTGACAGTATTGAGAGTCGACATTCTTTAACATTCACATTCAGTAAAACTCATCAACGATAGGCTCTCAATATATTTGCACCATTATCTTAACAATCCTTTTTACTGATATGGAAGGGTGGCTGAATAAATTTGAGTCGAACCCTACAGTATACTCGCCAGTGCGTAAATCGCCAAGCAACGAGATCTCAGTAACCTGTGGCTGGCCTAAATTAAATGGTAGTAGAGTGACAGGGCATGCATCGCTACAACGAGACCTCAGTACCCCATGGCTGGCTTGTAATGGTAGGGGAGGACAGGGCATGTAATCGTACAACGAGACCCCAGGAGCCCATGCCTCAGGCGTAATCGTGTAGGGGGAGGACAGGGCATGCAATCGCTAACAACGAGACCCATCAGGTAACGCAGAGGAGGACATGCCTACAACGCTTAAGTGGCTAATCGTAGGGGAGTGACAGGTTTCACTTGGTTTGTGCAGGTCATCGTGTCCCCGATTCTGTAGATCGGATGCTCATGATGTCAGGCCACTTGGGTGTCCCGTGCTGCTGACTTTGCCTGTGCCTGTGTCTGAGCTTATGTGTCTGTCTGTGTTTGTGCCTGTGTCTGTGATGCATTATGCCTTCATGTCTCTCTCTGTGCCTGTGCCTGTGCCAGTGTCTGAGTTTCTGCATGTGCCTCTGTGTCTGTGGAGTGTTGGAGTCTGTGCCTGTGTCTGTCTGTCTCTGCCTATATTTATGCCTTTCTGAGCCCTGTGTTCACAGTGCATGTGTCTGTGCCTGCGTGCCTGTGCCCTTTGTCTGTGTCAGTGCCCTTGCCTGTTCCCATGTGTCTGTGTCCGTGAATGTGTCTGCCTTTGTCTGTGTCTGTATATGTCTGTGCCTGTGTTTGTTCCTATATCTGTGTCTGTGTCTTTGCCTGTGCATGCCTTTGTCTGTTGTCTCTGCCTGTGTCTGTTTTGTGTCTGTGTTTATGACTGTACATGTGTTCTGTTCTGTGTTTGTGACTGTGTCTGTGTATGCGCCTGTGTTCTTGATTAGTGTCTGTGCTTGTGTCTGCTAAGTGTTTGCAAATCTGTCGTGTGTCTGTGCCCGTGTCTGTGTCTGTGCTCTGTGTCTGTGTTTGCATGACTGCGTCTGTGCCTGTGCCTGTACTTATGACTGTGTCTGGTGTCTGTGCCTCTGTCTGCTGTATGCTTAAGTCTGTGCTTGTGTCTGTGCTCACGCGTTTGTCTGTGCTTTGTGTCCTCTGTGCCTTGTGTCTGTCTCTGTCTGTCAATGATCTGCGCGTGTCTGTGCCTTGCAAGTGTTTGTGTTTGTGTCTGTGCCTGTGTCTGTGTCTAGTGTGTGTGTTCGTGCCCTGTGCCTGTGCTTGTGTAACCGTGCCTGTGTGTGTCTGTGTCTGTGCTCTGTATGTGTGTCTGTGTCTCTGTCTGTGTCTGTGCCTTTGTCTGTGTGCAGTGTCTGTGTCTGTCTGTGTTCCAGTGTCTGTCTGTGTCTGTGCCTGTGTCTGTGTACTGTGCCAAAAGGCTGCCTGTGTCTGTGCTGTGTCTGTGCTGCATGTCTGTTTCTGTTCATGTGTGTTCTTGCTTATGTGTTTGTCTGTGTCTGTGCCTGTGTCTGTGTTTGTCTGCCTGTGTCTGTGCCTGTGTCTGTGTCTGTGTCTGTCTGTGCCTGTGTCCGTGTGTGCCTGTCTGTGTCTGTGTCTGTGCCTGTGCCTGTGTCTGTGTCTGTGTCTGTCTGTGTCTGTGTCTGTGTGCATGTGCCTGTCTGTCTGTGTGTGTCTGTGTCTGTGTGTCTGTGTGTGTGTGTGTGCCTGTGTCTGTCTGTGTGCCTGTGTGTGCTGCGTCTGTGTCTGTGTGTGTGTGTCTGTGCCTGTGTCTGTGTCTGTCTGTGTCTGTTCATGTGTTCGTATGTCTGTCTGTGTCTGTGTCTGTCTGTGCCTGTCTGTGTCTGTGCCTGTGTCTGTGCATGTCTGTGCTCTGTGTCTGTCTGTGTCTGTGTCTGTGTGCCTGTGCCTCTGTTTCGTACCTGTCTGTGTTCTGTCTGTGCCTGTGTCTCTGTCTGTGTGTCTGTGTCTGTGTCTGTCTGTGTCTGTGTCTGTCTGTGCCTGTGTCTGTGTCTCTTTGCAGTGTCTGTGTCTGCCTGTGTCTTTGCCTGTGTCAGTGTATGTGGTATTGATACTTTCAAGAAACATTATTTGTGCTGTCAGCCGTAATGATTGTACCCATTATTCAGCTGTGAGTTCATTCATTTTTTAATCTAAACAAGAGATTGCCCGCGTCCTCGATTGGCATGCTGGGAACTGGAACAAGTCACAGTTTCACAGTCTGTGGCTAGCAGACTATAGAACATGTTCCAGCACAACCAAAATGTTGACGATCGACTCCGTTCGAGACGTCCAGATCGACAAGAGTACAGAATCCGTTGTTCCGAAACCAGGCTCTACGAAATGATTTCAGCTCCAGCAAACTTAGACTATTGGTGTACAAGTTACGGGTCATAGAAATAGTGCATCTACTTGCTCGAAATGTGCTGCATCTATATCATTTTGTCAGCAGTCGTCCAGGATGTACACATCTCAACTGATCACTTGTTACGTTTTCAGATGAGTCTATATTAAGACTGGACTTTACTTTGACAGGCAAGTCTGACAAGGAACGGAGCGCTCGCCGTGCACAAATTATCAATTTTCACCTTCGGCAGCGAAACACGGAATGTTATAGCCATCAAACAGTTAAGACATCTCCCCATTGAACATTGGGAATGACAGGGAGATGTCAAGGTCAACGTCACAGGGCGCCGACAGGTTGGCTGAACTTGGCCAGGCACTGCAAGAAGAGTTGGACTGACCCATGCGCAGTGTGATTGATAAATTGTAATATTGTATCGAGCGACGTTTAAATGCCTGCTAACTACCCTGTTTGGGTTTCGTTGGCTCTGTCAACACTTAGCATTAAACTAAGTTAATTCGCCATCTACATACAGGGAAACATGGCCAAGTTTCCACGTTCAAAAAATGCAAACACAAGGAAATTGATAACAAATTAATTATTTATATCGTACACTAATATTTCCGTGTAACACCATGTTGCGCAGGAGGTTGGTTGTTTGTTGTATAACGCTGCACCCAGCAGTAGTCCAGCTATATGGCGGCGGTCTGTAAATAATCGAGTCTGGACAAAACAATCCAGTGATCAACAGCATGAGCATCGATCTACGCAACTGGGAGACAATGACATGCGTCAACAAAGTCAGCAAGCTTGACCACCCGATCCCGTTAGTCGCCTCTTACGACAAGCATGGGTTACTGAAGACCATTTTTAGCTACTTCGCGTGGTCTCCACAGGAAGGAAATTACCAAATAGTAATAGAAACGTGACAATTCAATACAAAAATATGTTTCCAGTGAACGATTGATTGAGAAACATTTACATACAGTGAAGCTTGAAGTTACATAGCGGCAGTCAGAAATATTCCTGACATATTTGTCTTCAACACGTGACGTATACAAGACGACAAACTTTAATTAAAATACATTTAAACTTCTTAAACAATTTCACTTTTCATGCAGTTCGCAAACGTCAGTAAACTAGTTGGACCTGCGTACATAAGCTAGGTTTTTAGAACGATATTTACACACATCATACCACATTGTCCTGTAAGCGATGTTTGATGAAGTTAAGAGGGGTAAAATGTAAAACAAATAATAGGATAACTTACTATCGCTTAACATCACTGACAAGCGCTCCACAGCGTGTAGTTTGTCCTGACATAAAGATGTACTAAACTGATCATTGGTTGTGAGGATATAAACATCACTGACAAGGTTACTAAGCTCCACAGCGTGTAGTTTGTCCTGACATAAAGATGTACTAAACTGATCATTGGTTGTGAGGATATAAACATCACTGACAAGGTTACTAAGCTCCGTACTCGAGAGCCCGGGTTCTTCCAGACAACAGGTATGTACATACCTATATTTAACTTTCTTTAAACATTACGGTTTGAGATATGAGTAAAATCAGGGCAGAGCTTTTCTACTTTTAATTCTTCTGAAGTTTCATTTCAAATCATTTTCCCCTGAAGGGCGTTTCCCATTGTAATTATGCATCGAAAGACCTTCCCAGAACCACCAGTGAATGCTGCAAGCCTACTAAGTCATCATTGTTTAGCAGGGATATCAGCTTATATAATCAACAGGTCTTAGTATACACTGACCATGAGCATAAAAACGCCGACTTTTCCTACTCTGTGTGGACGTGGATTCCATTTCACGGGGCAGTAGATCAAACGAAGAGTTACATAATTACATCGTCATTACTCATATCAATACCTTTTCAAAAAGATTTGTTTCTAAGCATGGAGTAGAAGTTGTCAGCAACAGCAGGAAGTCCCCGTTGTCCTCCATCTGCAACGTCATAAACGTCACCCGCTACAGCAGCAGCTTCACCTCCATAGCCCCGCAGCAGCTCCCTCCAGATGACCTTGACCCAGAAGCCAGGGTCATGTCTGTCAGTGGAATATCAGTATACCATTCCAGCTCCTGTACAGTGGCACCGCTCATCTCGGCAACGTTGCTGCACATCTCTGTTTTGTTGGTGACACTGTGAAGTAAGAGTGAGGAGTGAGTATGGTTTTACACCGACTTTTGCAATATCCCAGCAATATCACTGCAGGGTACACCATAAATGGGCGTCACACACTGTACCAATGTGGGGAATCGAGCCCGGTCTTCGGCATGACGAGCGGACGCTTTAACCACTAGGCTACCCCCACCGCCCCTAGTGAAGTAAGAATAATATAAGCACATGTCATTAGCATCCAAATCTACATAAACATGAGAATAGTCAAACATTGGTTTCCAGGTATTGTAGTATTATATTATGGGTATTATTTAGTGATAAGAGTAGTAACCTATAAACAGACTTATCGGTTCGAATTACATGACCCTAGACATTCACATTTAATAAACAGAAATATTGTTGTTCCGTCCTTTAAACATTTTAATTTAGAGCTCGGGGAACGTTTAGAACAGTACGATCAGTTCAGTTCTTATGATGAAGAAAATGGTTTGATTGTAAGGAGCCATAGTGACAAGTGGTTGGACGGACTCAACACAGCAAAATGCAGACAGTAATGATCAGTTCAGTTTATAATGAAGAAAGGGTTTGATTGTAGGAGCTGCAGTGAAGTGGTGGAGGGACTCAACACAGCAACATGCAGACAGTACGATCAGTTCAGTTTATGATGAAGAAAGGGTTTGATTGTAGGAGCTATAGTGACAAGTGGTGGGACGGACTCAACACAGCAACATGCAGACAGTACATGATCAGTTCAGTGGATGAAGAAAATGTTTGATTGTAGGGAGCTATAGTGACAAATGGTGGGACGGACTCAACACAGCAACATGCAGACAGTACGATCAGTTCAGTTTATGATGAAGAAAGGGTTTGATTGTAGGAGCTATAGTGACAAGTGGTGGACGGGACTCAACACAGCAACATGCAGACAGTACGATCAGTTCAGTTTATGATGAAGAAAGGGTTTGATTGTAGGAGCTATAGTGACAAGTGGTGGAGGGACTCAACACAGCAACATGCAGACAGTACGATCAGTTCAGTTTATGATGAAGAAAAGGGTTTGATTGTAGGAGCTATAGTGACAAGTGGTGGGAGGGACTCAACACAGCAACATGCAGACAGTACGATCAGTTCAGTTTATGATGAAGAAAGGGTTTGATTGTAGGGAGCTATAGTGACAAGTGGTGTGAGGGACTCAACACAGCAACATGCAGACAGTAATGATCAGTTCAGTTTATGATGAAGAAAAGGGTTTGATTGTAGGGAGCCATAGTGACAAGTGGTGGGAGGGACTCAACACAGCAACATGCAGACAGTAATGATCAGTTCAGTTTATGATGAAGAGGACTCAACACAGCAAAATGCAGACAGTAATGATCAGTTCAGTTTATGATGAAGAAAATGTTTGATTGTAAGGAGCTGTAGTGACAAGTGGTGGACGGACTCAACACAGCAACATGCAGACAGTACATTACAGAGCAGCTGATGTCAGGAACGACACCTCACGTCATCGTGGTAGGACCCCAACGTTATCGTCACTAACTGCGACATTCACGTTAGTGTCAGTTCTTGCGATAAACAATGCGAGGACGCGGGCACTCACGCACCTGTTCTGCCTTAAGCGTTGACAATACTTGCAGCACAAGACCAGGAAGATGATTAAGAAAACTCCGACAGTCCCACAGATAGTCCCACTGTAGTACCTGACAAAACAAGTTAATTAATATAAATAACTCGTTCCCTGGGAGAACATTGAACAGAATCAGCTGGAGATACTTAAAATTCTAATTTACAATTACGCAAAAAATCTATTGTAAACAACAAAGAGTGACACTTAATACTGCTTGTGTTTGTTGTTTGTGTCATAAATTTTGCCTTTGAGTATAGTTCCTGAATACAATGCACTAAGGGTAGGAGTGTCATTTCTCCGTGGACTCAAAGCCCTGGGGAGTATACAACATAGTCTTCATGATAGAAGAATAACCAAGTTGTACCTACCAGCTTTACAGCCAGTCCTGTAGTAGGAGTCTACACATCCAGACACACAGGATGACCCCAGCTGACAATATCCTCCATCACAACCACCTGACATGCTGTACAGCTACCTCCTGACTGTCACATGGTATGTTGCACCCAATGCCAGAATAACCTGGCACACAACCATCAGTACAGTTATCGCTAGCATGTTCTGACAGCACGCATTTGTTATTCCTACAGTTCCGGCTGCAGGTAGACTTACATTGTCGATCATAATACCCAGTGTCACACTCAGAGAGGCAATCCCCTGTCTCTCTGTCACAGTCTGAACAGTGATGGGTGTAATGGCATGGAACAGCTGAAAGTAATTGTGAAGATATTATTTCATTGTTTTGCGTAATGGCAATAAAGAGTTTGTTCTTCAACAAAACACAGGATACTTAACTATAGCAAATGAGTTACAAGACCTATAATACCTGAACATTCAGCGGTACAGAGTGGTGGTTGTTCCTATGATTTTGATTTTTCTTTGTTCTTGTTCTTGTTTAACACTGCACACACCTATATATGGCAGCGCTCTGTACACCATCGTGTCTGGACCATACAATCCAATGATGAACGGTATGAACATCTATCAACGCAATTAGGATACGATGACATGTGTCAACCAAGTCAGCGAGCCTGACCACCTGATCCCGTTAGTCCCGTTAGAACAAGCATGGGTTGCTGAAGACCATTTCTAACCCGGATATTCACGGGATCTAATCTTAATACAGATAAGCAATATTTGTACGGTTTTGAAGCACTACAAAATTGTTGGGAGCAGGACAAAAGCCACGCGGACAAAAACACCCCAAAATTGGGTATAATCGAGTCCACGAAGTATGGAGCAGGGTGTAGCATGTTGGGTTCCAACCTGTGACCCTACCCCAACGAGGAGGTCGAACCTTTGTTTTAGCTTAGTCAGATGAGGTGAGGTGAAATTGGGTTTAACGTCGTGCTTGAGAATATTTCGCCTCACATGACATGCATGTGTATGTGTATGTGTGGCTGCTTGTACTAGCTGGTGTTACAGCTACTAGCACACTGAGATACCATGCACAGTGAAGCATGAATACCCCACTCAGACACATTATACTGATTCCGAGCCGACCAGTCCTTGTTGTACCCATTAATGCCGAGCGTCAGGCAGGACCAACAAGTACCATATTTTAACGTCTTTGGTATGACGCGCTCGGGGATCGAACCCGCGACCTTACGCTCTCCGGGCGGACGCTCTAACCACTACACCACGGAGGCGGTCAGCTAGTCAGGACATCATCGTTGTATAAGTGAAGCAATTTTGAATTTAATCCTAATCTCATCTTCATGTGTCAATAATGTGTCCATTGATACTCGTATTGTCTTCTTCCACATTATCCTACTAAAGTAGGGATATTAACCAATGACAATACGAGATGAACAATGGCAACAGTACAATGTCTTATCTTCTGTAGCCATTACCAAGAGGGCTGTCCACATTATCCTGACTAAAGTAGGATATTAACCAATGACAATACGAGATGAACAATGGTAACAGTACAATGTCTTACCTTCTGTAGCCATTACCAAGAGTGTTGTCCACATCCTGACTCCCAATACGAGATGAACAATGGCAACAGTACCTAAAGTAGACTAAAGTAGATATTAACCAATGACAATACGAGATGAACAATGGTAACAGTACAATGTCTTACCTTCTGTAGCCATTACCAAGAGTGCTGTCCACATTATCCTGACTAAAGAAGGGATATTAACCAATGACAATACGAGATGAACAATGGTAACAGTACAATGTCTTACCTTCTGTAGCCATTACCAAGAGTGCTGTCCACATTATCCTGACTAAAGTAGGGATATTAACCAATGACAATACGAGATGAACAATGGTAACAGTACAATGTCTTTACCTTCTGTAGCCATTACCAAGAGTGTTGTCCACATTATCCTGACTAAAGTAGGATATTAACCAATGACAATACGAGATGAACAATGGTAACAGTACAATGTTTTACCTTCTGTAGCCATTACCAAGAGTGCTGTCCACATTATGAACCAGACAGTCATTCTGTTCACTGAAACAGAACAGAACAATTAAGGATATTTTGTTAACATGCTATAATAGATCAGAATCATAACAAAACACGAAGACAAGGGGACTTAGGCAGCTTAGGGATGTGCAAGTGTATAATTCCCAGGAAGCTGAGAACATAATAATGACGGACACTGAATATGCAGCATATTGTGGAATCTAGTGGTGCATTCATATTCTCAAATGATGGTATGTAAACAACAAATCAACAAAAATAACTTTTTGAGTGGCATTTTAGAAGTTGGGAAGTACAATATAGAACAAACCTTATGGATAACAACTTCTTTTATATTCGTGAGAGTGCAAGATTCACAAATCTGACACCTCTAGTATGAAGGTTTGAACTCCAATGAACCTGCACAAAGTGAAACGTCAGTTAATAAATTATCAGCTTTTACAACAGGGAAGTACTACGTTATGGTTTCACAAGTGTATACTTCCCAAGAAATTGGCTACAAGGTTCTTACACTAATGAAAGTCTTTATGTGAAGTACTTACAATATGGTGGAATTTCTACATGGAATTCTGTTTATACTGTATACAGAAGACACTATTCAGAGCAAGAATCATCCCTATCTCCGATGTTCGATGCTGCGGCTGGCGAGCATCCAAAACCTTCTTGTGTAATCACGGCATGTTATAATGAGTAGCAACCTTCTTATTACAAAAATACACTTCCTCTTCACTACCCTATTGCCCCTAACCAGGAAGGTGAAAATCTCTGGTAGCAACAACTGTCAAACATTTCCCCAAACATTTCCGTTTTCTCACAATCTGTCCAGCTAAACGAATTTCCTGAATCTTGAATACAGAAATGTAATTTGATCTAGACTACCAGTTGTCAGACTTTTCTTTCTGCGTGATTAGATCGCTGCCTTTGTTTGTTTGCTGGGTCGATTGATGTGGGTCTGAATTCCGGATGGGACACAGCCTAACAGAAGTACAAGAATCCGTACTTTACTGAGAAGGTATAATCTCAAATATAAGATATAAGTTGTATCTGAACTGATGTGTCACTGTATGTAGGTGTGTACTGGGTATGTAGGTGTACTGGGTTGTCGCTGTATGAAGGTGTACTGGGTTGTCTCTGTATGTAGGTGTACTGGGTTGTTCCTGTATGTAGGTGCACTAGGTTGCACTGCATGTAGGTGTACTCAAGTTGTTGCTGTATGTAGGTGTACTGAGTTGTCACTGTATGAAGGTGTACTAGGTTGTCGATGTATGTTGGTGTACTGAGTTCTCGTTGTATGTGGGTGTACTGTGTTATCTCTGTTTGTAGAAGTACTTTGTTGCATGTAGGTGTACCATCTGTATGTAGGGGGCGGTGGGTGTAGTGGTTAAAGCGTTGGCTCGTCACGCCGAAGTTGTCCCCACTGTATGTAGGTGTACCCCGATATTGGTTGATATTGCTGTCACTGAATGTAGGTGTTGTTCTGTACGTAGGTCACCATTGTAGTCTGTACGTGTAATGTCGGGTTGTCACTGTATGTAGGTGTACTGGGTTGTCACTGAATGTAGGTGTAGGTGTCACTGTATGTAGGTGTACTGGGTTGTCACTGTATGTAGGTGTACTGGGTTGTCTCTGTATGTAGGTGTACTGGGTTGTATCTGTATGTAGGTGTACTGGGTTGTCACTGAATGTAAGTGTAATGTACGTAGGTGTACTTGGGTTGTCTCTGTATGTAGGTGTACTGGGTTGTCTCTGTATATAGGTGGACTGTATGTAGGTGTACTGGGTTGTCTCTGTATGTAGGTGTACTGGGTTGTCTCTGTATGTAGGTGTACTGGGTTGTCACTGTATGTAGGTGCACTGGGTTGTCTTTGTATGTAGGTGTACTTGGGTTGTCACTGAATGTAAGTGTAACTGTACGTAGGTGTACTGGGTTGTCTCTGTATGTAGGTGTACTGGGTTGTCTCTGTATGTAGCTGTAGCTGTACTGGGTTGTCTCTGCATGTAGGTGTACTGGGTTGTCTCTGCATGTAGGTGGACTGTATGTAGGTGTACTGGGTTGTCTCTGTATGTAGGTGTACTGGGTTGTCACTGTATGTAGGTGTACTGGGTTGTCTCTGTATGTAGGTGTAGCTCTGTATGTAGGTGTACTGGGTTGTCTCTGTATGTAGGTGTAGGTGTCTCTGTATGTAGGTTGTACTGGGTTGTCTGTATATAGGTGTACTGGGTTGTCTCTGTATGTAGGTGTACTGGGTTGTCTCTGTATGTGTAGGTGTACTAGGTTGTCACTGTGTAGGTGTACTGGGTTGTTCTGTATGTAGGTGTACTGGGTGGACCCCTAGGTGTACTTGTTGTACTGAGTTGTCACTGGGTTGTAGATGTACCAGGGTTGTCTCTGTATAAAGGTGTACTGGGTTGTCTCTGTATGTAAGCGTATTGGTTTGGCTCTGTATGTAATTTACTCTGTGTCTCTGGATTGTCAGATTTTTCTCCATTTCAGATGGTATGGCAAACATCCTGCATTGAAAACGTGCGCAGAAATATAATAACGTATTTTGTCAATATTCCAATTTAACATGTTTCCGTGACCATGGTTTCATAAACAAGAACGTTGTCGTCGATGGATTATGAAGGCCTACAAAATGTAAAGGGGACAGCACGGAAACTGAAAGTACAGATGTGAGGTTAAATCACGTCTTTGTCAGACAGATATAAGAAATACTTCCCTGGCTGCATCGCCATAGTAATCAATAAACCCAAGAATTCGTTCACCATGACCTTCATTACGCGGCAATCAGAAGCACTCCAACAATTGCAGACTGTCTGTGACTTACTGAGACTTGACCAGAAGTCCGAGAGGTTGATATCGTGACACATGAAACCACGTTATGCAATCCAGTGAGTGAGGGAGTGAATATGGTTTTACGCCGCTTTAGCAATACCAGCAATATCACGGCGGGGACACCAGAAATGGGCTTCACACGTTGTACCCATGTGGGATTCGAACTCGGTCTTCTGCGTGACGAGCCAATGCTTTAACCACTAGGGCTACCCCACCGCCCCTCCAGCAATATCAAAAACTGGGGACATTAAAGATGGGCTTCACACATTGTACCCGTATGGGAATCGAACCTGGGTCTTCGGCGACAACTCTGGAATTGTCCACCTTTTTAAGTGTAAAGTACTCCACCGTGAAAATACAGCAACTCATAGAGTGAGTGATTTAGCTTTACGCCCCTTTTAGCAAATATTCCAGCAATATCACGGCGGGGAACAGATGGTTTTATGCCGCTTTTAGCAATATTCCAGCAATATCACGGCGGGGAACACCAGAGTGAGAGAGTGAGTATGGTTTTACGCCGCTTTTAGCAATATTCCAGCAATATCACGGCGGGAACACCAGAAATAGGGCTTCACACATCGTGCCAATGTAAGGAATCGAACCCAGGTCTTCGGCGTGACGAGCGAACGCCATCACCACGAGACTACACCACCGCCCCAGTAACTCATAGAGACACAAGTTCGCAAGTTCATGTTCAGGGCCCTATGCATTCAATCCCCAAAGGAGCATTTACGAGTTGCTGCAATTTCGCCCTTTTAGTGAAATAAAACAATAGTATGATCCAATGCGCGACAACGGGACGAAGTGACGATGCAATAAATGGCCAAACGTCACATTGTCACTGTTGATTTTCACGTTTTGTTTCTTTTGAAAGGGCGGAACGCGACAATGTCCCTTCCTGGATTCCATACTTTAATGAAACTTCACCAAACTGTTAATGTACACAATGAGGCACATTCAGGACGTTATTCAATCTGGCTATTCATGACTGCTATCTGGGTCAATTCAACAGCTCTTACTGCAAGGTCATATGCAGCCTGACACTGAAGCTTGAACAAAACGCCCCCAATCTACGCGCGACACCGTCACTTCCTTGAACCAGGTAACATGATCCCGCAGGGGTAGGGTACCTGGCAGTTGACCGACAGAAGAGAAATATAATCCATGCATATTGTTTAAACATTTCCCTAATTAATATTTATGATGTTTTGAGTTCGTTTAGTTTATAGGTAGGAGTAACATTTGATAAGTACGTCAATCTGTGAATGGCTGGACTGACTGTCACCCCCTCACATATAACAAGCTCGCCCACATTGTATTCTCGGGAAATACGCTCGGCTCGGTGCGACTGCAGAAATATCTGATCACGATATGTGGAGTAAGAGGCCTCGGCTTGTTTGAGGGTGAGTGAGTTTAGTTTTACTCCGCAGTCAGCAATATTCCAGCTAATAAATAATCGGGACCAGATAATAGCGTGATCAACAGCATGAGCATCGATCTGTTGGGAACCGATGAATCGACCAAGTCAACGACCAGATCCCGTTAACCTCTAGACAAGCACGGGTCAGGCCAATATTCTAACCCGGACCTTCACGGAAGAGTGCGTGTCATCGAAGTTACCAAGTGCAGGGTTGAAAGGCAAGTTTACTTCAGCCAGGTTGTATAATCAGACAGATTGATCGTGTGTAAACTGTTAGCGTGCGGGTGCGGGTGGGTGGGGTTGTTAGTTCTATGAGAAGCTGTTGAGATGAGAAACTGGGAGATATTTGTTACAACTGAGGACGTGTTGGATTGATCTATGAATGAATTCACTTTACTACAGCGGTCAACCTGTCCTTGCACATGTCATCGTATCCCAGCTGAGTAAATAGCTCATGCTGTTGATCACCGAATTGTCTGGTTAAGCCTCGAGTGAGTGGTGGTTTGTTCTTACGCCGCACTCAGCAATATTCCAGCTATATGGCGGTCAAGCTCCTCGACTATTTAAAGAATAATACAGCTGGACTCTCACTGAGTGCGGCGTTAAACAACAAAACAAAACAAGCGAACACTACCTTTCAACTGCACATGTCATCGTATCCTAATTGCGTAAAACCGCTGCCTCATGCTGTTGATCACTGGATTGTCTGGTCCAGACTTGACTATTTACAGACTATTACTGCGTGCGGCGTTAAACAACAAACAAAAAAACCAGCCAAAATACGTCTCTTCTGCGCTTTTTATTTAGGTGAATATTTCATATATATCACTACCTGTTTATTGTTATATCTGTCTAGTCAGTGTCGTAGTAGATACAGCTTGTCGCCGAGTCTACCCAAGGATGTGGATGTTGTATGGGGAGACACTTGGATCTGTTGTATGGGATTATGTTGTATTGCATCTATAAAGTAAATAGTACAACCTTGTGTAATATATTACAAAGACACTAGCATAAAGACTCACTGCTTCTGTAGAAAATTTGAATTACGTGACTATTATAAACCCTCAAACGATTAAATAGATCTCCAGATATGACTCATTTCCCTTTACTTCTATTTGTTACTTTAAACAAAAATCTCATGTAACAGGTGAGTCAGCAAACAGCCAAGTGTAGATCACCAAAACCCAGTGGGATTGACATTATGAGCAAATGCACCGGATCATCCTGGGATTGTAGCACTACGTTCTTACGATAGGTTACGATAGGTTGTAACTTTCCGAACGCTTGTCGATCGGGCGTTGCTGCTGTACCTTATTCAAACCAGAAATCACACTCCAGGTGCAGTGATGACTTTAGCATAACATCACTGCCACAGGCTAATTTGCACATTACACGACCGGACTTTTCTCTCTTGT